ACATTTTAATAACTTACATATTCACATATTAATATATGAAAAACACATATTCACAACTTAATAATTTAACAAATTTCGTTGAAGTATTACATCAAACACATTGTGTGCACCACATACATCCGATCCATAATCACCATAATGCAGAAGATCTGAACAAATATACAGAGAGACATTATATTAACAATTTATTCATTGTTTAAACTCTAAAAAAACTTCACCAATAGCACTCACAACTAAATTTACAACTTAATAACTTACCTAATTTCAATGAGGCATTTCATCAAGCACATTATGTGCATCTTTTTTTGCATAAGTTTTTTTTTATGTAAACACCATCACCGGAGACCAGATCTGATACGGTGGTGGAACTTTCGTCGGCTGCCGTGAGATACACCACACATACAAACACCAGATCTAACCTGAAAAATACACAAACACATTAGATTTGATCACGATCTGGTGATGTTTGACTAGAGATCAGATAAAATAAATAGAGGAGAGTTAGAGAGAAGAAATAAGTGGTCACAAAACATATCTGGTACAAATCCAGCTGAGATTTTGCCCGTGATGGAACTACTAGAGGGAAAAAATGATTTCAAGAGTTCTAGATCAAAAACGAGTAGATTAGCACCTATAGATTGCGATGATGACTGCTATTTGTGATTTGTGATGCTCCAACGACGACAACAACGATAGGAGAACAGATCTGATGTGGATCCAACGCTAACATGGTGAAATAATAACAAAAAGATTTCTAAAATAGCACCAAATACTCAAATTTACATTAGATATGACCATATTTGGTGTGAGAGAAGATAGTGTCGATCGTTAGTGGTGTTGTAGTCGCTGACAGTGGTGTCGATCACCAAGGGATGCGGCAGTCACCTTATTTTTTCAGATCTGGAACCACCATAGAGAAGGGAGGTGGCTATAGTAGTGTAGCGACAAAGGAGGGAACAAACATACATTAGGCTAACGTCAACGACAGTGGTGGAGGAAGCAACAATGGTGGCTCCGACGGCGATGGTAGGTGGTGTTAGGTGTGTGTTCTTAAAGGTTGGTAGAAGATTTGAGAGAGTATGAGAGTTTATGAGTTTGAGAGATATGATGGGTTTAAATCTAACTTTAAGTGTTCCTGTTTGAATGAAAAAAATACTCTTAATGAAAGAGGTTCTTAACCTTTAAGAGTTCTCATTTGATCTTTTTTGTTCTCTCTCTCTCTCTGTATATATATATAATATATATATATATATATATATATATATATATATATATATATATATAATATATATATATAGTAAATTACACGAATGGTCCTTATGCTTTGGGGTAATTTGCACGCTTGGTCCCTAACTTATTATTTTAACTCGGAAGGTCCCTACTGTTTGTTTTTGTTACACGCTTCGTCCCTACTGTTTGTTTTTGTTACACGTTTGATCCCTGTCTTACCTAAAAAGACTATTATTTAAATAGGAAAAAATGGTAGGGTATGTAAGGTAAGGTGAATGGGTGAGGTTGGGGGTGTGTTTATTTAAATAAATTAAAAAATCAAGGGGAAAATAGTCTTTTTAGGTAAGACAGGGACCAAACGTGTAACAAAAACAAACATTAGGGATCTTCCGAGTTAAAAAAATAAGTTAGGGACCAAAAGCGTAAATTACCCTAAACCATAGGGACCATTTGTGTAATTTACTCATATATATATATATATATATATGTATATATATATATATATATATATATATATATATATATATATATATTGATGTTGATGTTGAAAAATGATGAGCTTATTATGAGTTCGTAAGTTCTTACGAATCTTTTGGTTCTCAAAAGAACCTGACTATATATATATATATACACACTAGGCGAATGCATGTGCATTGCGCATAAACACCTATATAGTTGAAGTCTTTACAAATATATGTTTTTTTAATATAACAATAACGTTGTTGTTAAATTTGATATAATAATTCGTATACTATATTGATATAGTATATTGATTATTTTTAATTATATGATAATATATATGTCTATTATAACTGCATAATCTAAATCGTTTGAATGACTTCTGTCCGCAAGTTACACATGAATAAAATTAAATATAATATATGGTTTAATTTTATTTATAGTTGTTGTTATTGTTAATTAATTTTTTTAAATTTATTACTGTTTTAATTGCTATCATTATGGTTATTTAAAACATCAAACATTGTTTTTTGATTTTAAAGGTAACAATATAGTCATTTATATAAAGTTATTTTTAATTATTGTTATTGTAAGTTATTTTAAGCTATTTATTTGAAAACTTTTAATGATTATAAAAATATCTTTAGGAAATATTTTAGTTAAGTTGAAATTACATTTTAATTTTTGTATTTATCACTACAACTTATCACTTTTAACTATTTATAAAATATTCTTTGGCTTTTTAAATGGAACTGAAATTTATATTTAAGTTGATACTGTAATGTTATATTTAAATTAACAAATTAAGTATTTTGTCCAAACTGTTCAAAAGTTGTAGCTTTAAACTGATAATGGTTTACATGCAACAACATTTTAAATCTAATAAATTAAGTATAATATGTTAAAAGTTAGAGACATAACTTTATAAGTAGAAGTAAATATATTATTTTAAAATTGAAATTTAGTTTATTTATGATTACACTTTAGGTTTAATATTTATTTAACCTTATTAACTAACTTATAATCATTATTAGAAAGACTCTACAATTTATCATTTTTAACTATTTACAAAATATTTTTGGGTTGTTTAATTTAAACTAAAATTTATATTTAAGTTGACACTGTAATGTTATATTTAAATTAATAATTTAAGTATTTTATACAAATTGTTCCAAAATTGTATCTTTAAAATGATAATGGTTTACATTCAACAATATATTAAAACTAATAATAATATGTTAAAAGTTAAAAAAACATAACTTTATAAGTAGAAGTAAATATATGATTTTAATATTGAAATTTAGTTTATATATGATTACACTTTAGGTTTGATATTTATTTAACATTATTAACTAACTTACAACTATTATTAGAAAGAAATTGAAAAGTCATGGGAGTTTCAAATGAATGTGGTGAAAGGAAAAATGCATGAGAGTTTTAAATGAATGTGGTGAAAGAAAAAATGTTTCCTTTATAATATATTATGATGATATGATATTTTCGCGCGTTGCGCAGAAACAACTATAGTTGAAGTCTTTACAAATATATGTTTTTTTTAAATATAGCAATAACGTTGTTGTTAAATTTGATATAATAATTCGTATACTAAATTGATATAATATATTGATTATTTTGAATTATATGATAACATATATACATCTATTATAACTGCATAATCTCAATCGTTTGAATGACTTCTATTTGCGACTTACACATGAATAAAATTAAATATAATATATGGTTTAATGTTATTTATAGTTGTTGTTATTGTTAATTAATTTTTTAAAATTTATTTACTTAATGTTTTAATTTCTATCATTATAATTATTTAAAACATCAAACATTGTTTTTTGATTTTAAAGGTAACAATATAATCATTTATATAAAGTTATTTTTAACTGTTGTTATTGTAAGTTATTTTAAGCTACTTATTTGAAAGATTTTAACGATTATAAAAATATCTTTTGGAAATATTTTAGTTAAATTGAGATTGAGATTACAATTTAGTTTTTGCATTTATCATTACAATTTATCACTTTTAACTATTTACAAAAGATTCTTTGGTTTTTTAAGTGGAACTGAAATTTATATTTAAGTTAACATTGTAATGTTATATTTAAATTAACAATTTAAGTATTTTGTCCAAACTGTTCAAAGTTGTAGCTTTAAATTGATAATGGTTTACATACAACAACATATTAAATCTAATAAATTAAGTATAATATGTCAAATGTTAAAGACGTAACTTTATAACTTTATAATTAGAGGTAAAAATATTATTTTAAAAATGATATTTAGTATATTTAGGATTACACTTTAGGTTTGATATTTATTTAACCTTGTTAACCAACTTAAAATCATTATTAGAAAGACACTATAATTAATCACTTTTAACTATTTACAAAATACTATTTGGGTTGTTTAAGTTAAACTAAAATTTATATTTAAGTTGACCCTATATTGTTATATTCAAATTACTAATTTAAATATTTTATACAACTTGTTCCAAAATTGTATCTTTAAAATGATAATGGTTTACATTTAACAATATATTAAAACTAATAAATTAAGTATGATATGTTAAAAGTTAAAAAACATAACTTTATAAATAGAAGTAAAGATATTATTTTAATATTGAAATTTAGTTTATATATGATTACACTTTAGGTTTTAATATTTATTTAACCTTATTAACCAACTTATAATTATTATTAGAAAGAAATTGAAAAGTCATTAGAGTTTCAAATGAATGTGGTGAAAGTGAAAATGCATAAGAGTTTCAAATGAATGTGGTGAAAAGAAAAATTCTTCCTCTATAATATAGTATGATATATAATTTCAACATTTCATAATTAATCCTTGAGGTATACATAATTTTTAGATTTGGCCCAAGGACATTTTGGATATTTAGAATAAAAACTAAATACTAAGAAGTTAAAGTTAACAGAAGGACCATTTATGCAATTTCTTAAACCATAAGGACCAACGACATGATTTTTTTTCATAGAAGTCCTCAAATTAAATATTTTGCAAACCAAAGGGACAAATTATGAAATTTTGTAAAAAAAAAAAAAACTCTTTTGATAATTTCCCTTTATATTAATTGCAAAAAGTGTATCGGTATCGTTAACGTTTTCGGACACTGATTGAGTGACGTGCCAAGTTATTTTCACTGTACAGCACAACCTGTTTGTAAAACCCGCGAAGTGGAGCTGGAATCCCAATTTTGAATCCACATCAGGCCCCCATTGTTTTCGAAACCCTAATTCCACACACGTCTCTCTCGTTCCACTGAAAAAATCCGTTTGTTGATGGCGACAACGATTACGAAGAACGAGAATGTTGTTAAGGTTAAAGCCGAAGGTGACGGAGTTGAAGAACAAAATGAGGTTTCTAAATCTGAAGCAGAGCCGAAGGAGGGTGTTCAGAAGAAGAGAGGTAGGAAAAGAGGTCGGAAAGTGAACAACGGGAACACTTGTAATGCTATTAAATCTCAAGAGAAGAGTTATAAACCGCGTGGTCGTCCGAAACAGGCTGTTACTATAAAGGAGGAAATGACGACGACGATGTTCCCAGAAGAAGCTATGGTTGATGCTGAAACTGCTCTTGCTACTCCTGATCGAGTGGGAAACGACAACAGCGAAGCAATAAACAGCAAAGAGGGCACAAACGAGAATGGAGTAATATCATGTGTCCCTGATTTCTCTCTTTTTTAGTTAACGAAATCTGCTTAATTACTCTGGCACATATCTGATCAAACTTTATCTGTTTATATTCCATCCATTGGCAGGGAAACCTAATTAAAGTAGAGCCAAACACGTGCCATCAATGCCAAAATAACCATAAGCGAAGAGTTGTTCGGTGCCAGCGATGCACTAGAAGGCGTTACTGTGTGCCTTGCATTAAAAAATGGTATGAGTTGTCAAAAAAAAATTCTTCCTATGTAGTTGAGCAACTGAATTGAATGTTTACTTTGCAAGGTTCAGTCTAGTTGACTTATTACCAGTTACATCATTTTAACCCTTCACATTTGCCTGCATTGGCATCAGCGTTGCTAAATTTTTTTGCTGAGTGCAACAAGTAGCCATTATTGACCTTTGTAATTAGCTTGGTTGAATCTGTAGAAGCATGCTTCCGTAACTTACTAACTTGATGTCCAATTGTAGAAAATTCTCTTTTAAGCAGACTGTAGTTAAATCACTGGCAGTTTTCATATTTCTCTCTTTGTTTATTCTGTTCTGTAGGTACCCTAACATGACAGAGGAAATGTTTGCTGAGTGTTGCCCTGTTTGCCAAGGCAACTGCAACTCTATAAAATGCTTGCGAAATGTGAACAATAAAGTTGGTTCCTGTAGCTCATCTTTTGTTATGGAACGTATTGATGTTCTTACTCTCAACCAGATAAGAAATTTAATACTGAATCTGTTGTTGGGTTTAGGTCAAAGAGAAGATTGATTTCAAACCTAATGATGATCAGAAAGTTCGATATTCTATTTACATCCTGCATGTGCTTTTTCCGTTCTTGAAGCATGTAAATGAGCAGCACATGAAAGAGATAGCAATAGAGTCTAGAATTCAAGGTATTTTTTGCTGTTTATCTCATTTTTCTTGCTTTATTTAAAATGTAGACCTTCTAGTTCACATTGTAGCTAATCTAAATCAGTGATGCCATATATGATTCTTGACTAATGATGATGACTATTTCATTCTTATGGAAAAAGGTTCGAGTCAGATAAGTTCATTGTTGAGACTTCATGGAAATGCAAGGAAAGTCGTTTCTTCGGCTTAACTTCTCAACCTGAAGTCTCAAGTCTCATCCTTCATCATTTTAACTTAATTTCTATATACGATCTCATAATGGATGACATGAACTTGAATCTTTGACCTTGAACTCAATATGAATGGATAAATGGCAATCAGCCATACTTTATGTAGGTTTCCCTGACTTTATTACTTGGGCAGGATCTTCTATATCGGAGGTACAGTTGAAGAAGGTAGAGTGCAGCTTGGATAAGCAAATGCACTGGTATGCCATTTCAATGATTGTACGTGTCTTTGAGGATTTTGTTTCTTGGGCGATGCATTCCTGTTTTGATTGTTCCCTGATATATGCAGTGACTGCTGTAAAACATCAATTTTTGACTTGCATAGAAGCTGCCCTTCTTGTCATTATAACCTTTGCCTTCAATGTTGCTGGGAATTGCGAGATGGCAACCCTCAAGGAAACAAAGAAGGAGTTATCATTGAACCTAAAGATCCAGGGCCTGAGTACTTACATGGCATCCCTAAGGGATTCAGGAAAGCATGGAAAAAGACATGTTATGTTGAGAAGGCTGCTGAAGATCCTGCACCGAAGGAAAAGCAAACTCATGACTGGAATTCTTTGGTTGATGGCAGAATTCTTTGCCCTCCAAAAAGTATGGGTGGTTGTGGTCGTGGGATTTTAGAGTTGATGCACATAAAGTCACTTGACAGTGTTTCAAAATTGTTGGAAAAAACACAAAAGCTCTTAAAGATGCACAAACTGGAGGAAGATATGAGGGATATGCCTGAGAAATGGTGCACATGTTCTTCAGATGGTGGTGATGAGCAGCTACGAAAAGCTGCATCTCGTGAAAATTCCAGTGACAATTACTTGTATTGTCCACGTGCAAAGGACATTAAAGCTGGAGATTTGAAGCATTTTCAGTGGCATTGGTCAAAAGGGGAGCCAGTAATAGTCAGCAATGTTCTAGAAACTACACTTGGGTTGAGCTGGGAACCCATGGTCATGTGGCGTGCTTTTCGCTGGGCTTCAAACTCCAAAGAAAACAAGCTCTCAGATGAGGCTGCTATTAACTGTTTGGATTGGTGTGAGGTTGGATAAGTACCTTTATTTTTTACATCTTTTATTTATTTTTCTAGTGTTCTGAGGTGATTGGTGGATGTATACAGTTCATACAAGCTTGGGAGAACATTTTCTATTTCTATTGATATGAACTTCTCTCCTAGTATAGTATCACGAGGTTCCACCTCTTCAGATGCCTTACGGAGAAAATGTAGAGAAAGAAATAGGGATCTCTATATTTGTGTGTTCATCATCATGGAGAAGGTGTATGATACTATACTAGGAGAGACATTTTGAGGACCCTGGATGGAAGGGTACCATCTGTGTCCAACCTCTAGTAGGAGTAGGTGGCACCAGTCTTTCTTGGTGGAAATTGGGTTACATTAGGGATTGGATCTTAGCCTTACATCTTTGCTTTGATTATGGACCTGAGAGTCAGGAAGGGGTGCTCTAGGCACTTTTTTTACCAATGATATTGTGTTGATGGCAGAGATTGAATGAGTTGAATGCTAGGTTAGATACTTGGAACCCAAAGGAGAATTTCAAGTACTTGGAGTGTAGATCCATAAGGAAGAAGATGTTGAGGACGTTGTTACTCACCACATAAAGACCGAATGGTTAAAGTGGAGGACAACCAAAGGAGTTTAGTGTGACAAGGTCCCGCTGAAACTGAGGGGAAATATTATTATAGGGTGGCAGTTAGGCTAAATGTGTTGACTTTGTCTGATTAAGAAGGAACATGAGAGGAAGGTTGAAGTTGTGGAAATAAGGATAGTGTGGTGGACATGCTGTGTGGGACAAGATACTGAATGCAATAATAAAAACTATTAGGGAGTGATTTTCCTCGTGACTGTTGTCCCAATTTTTCATTCTGTATGCGCTTTTTTTCTTTCTCCCCTCCATTCATCATTGTGAGCTCACGTTTCATATGCCAGAGGTCATCTATGAAAGCATTCTATCTACCCTTGGGTGAAAATATGACTGTATACATCTTACCTCCCTCTTACCCCATTTATATAGGATTTGGGTTTAGTTGTTGTTTGCCTTTAAGTTAATACTACATTGAGATATATTACATGCCTAATCAAGTTTTCTCATGACATGCAGGTTGATGTTAATCTTCAAAAGTTTTTTACTTGGTATACGGACGGTATATATGACACTGAAGGGTGGCCTCAGATCCTAAAGCTGAAAGACTGGCCTCCATCAAATTCATTTGAAGAACGGTTCCCACGTCATGGTGTTGAATTCATCACTTCCTTGCCCTTCAAAGAATATACACATCCTCGTGATGGATACCTTAATCTTGCTGTCAAGTTACCTGAAAAATCTTTGAAGCCACACATGGGTCCTAAAACTTATATAGCTTATGGTGTTTCTGAAGAATTGGGACGTGGAGACTCTGTAACTAAACTTCATTGTCACAAGTCTGATGTGGTATGTTTTTTCTGTTTGGTTATGCCAAATTCTTCTGCTTGAAATTTTCTATTCTGATTTTAGGCAAAGACAAGATCTCCAGTGTTGGATTTCATCTAGTATCATTGGAATTGAATTTTGCTCTTTAGGCATCATCAAGAAAACTTTTTTTCCCCTTTTAGTTATAGAAGTTGCCATTTCAATTTGTATGAGAAGGAATTGGTTTGCTGATGTCTTCAAAAGAAATATAACAGAAGCTGTCATGAAAGTTCGTTTACGTTCATAACAGAAGCTGGAATGCAATCTTAGTTTTTTCCCCTTTCTTGATCTGTTGGAAGAAACGAACAGCTCTCTTCTGTTTCTCATCTTTTTTCTGTTGTTAAAAGAATAAAAAGCAGTAATTGCAGTACTTCTTGGACTCACCATGGAAAAAAGAACCACTAATTAGAAAAGTAAAGTGAAGTGAACTTTATGAAGTAGCTGTTATTTACTATCCGAGTTAAAACATCAATTTGTAATGCCTGTTTTTGATTTACAACATAAAATCATCTAGCTTTATTTTAAGAAGACAAAACCCTGATCTAAACATTTTGGTATGTCAAAATAAAATCATTTTGCAAAAATTGAACCTGTCATGTCAGCTTTTCTTGTGAAGAGTTATTTCAAAGAGAAATATTCTCTGTTTTGCACACCTAATCTGTTTTGGTTTTATGTATTTTCGTTCATAAATATTTTGTTTGGTGACATGCAGGTGAATGTGCTGACTCATACTGCAACTGTGACCCTCGACTCTGAACATTGTAAAAGGATAAATGTATTGAAAAAGCTGCACAAGGCTCAGGATCAGAAGGAACTTTATGTTGATAACACGAAAGATGCTACTTCCAACCAAGTTGTTGGGTTGAAGAAACAAGAAGGGCATAAAACTACTAGTAATCAATCAGACCAATATTTATTGAAGGAGGAAAGTTGTGAAGGAGTTGAGTTTAACATTGATAAAAAAGATAAGAAGAGAAAGGATTCAATGAAAGGGGTTGTGGGAGTGGGGCCAGATGGAAATAAACGAAAGAAAAAGAAGGGCAGGAAACAAGTGGTATCTTCTGATAGTGAAGAAGTTGATAAGCAGGATGATATTTCAGGTAGTTGTGTGGATGGATTTGATTTGGGAGATGGAGGTGCTCTGTGGGACATATTTAGGAGGGAAGATACTCCTAAACTCCAGGAATATCTCAAAAAACACTTTAAAGAGTTTAGACATGTCTTTTGTCGACCAGTGGAGCAGGTAGTCCTTACTTATAGTTGAAATTCTTCTATGTGTTGCATTACATTCCTAAATAGTAATTTCTTAAACTGTTCCATTGTATTTTCTTGGTCCAGGTTATACACCCAATTCATGATCAAACATTTTACTTAACCATGGACCATAAAAGGAAGCTCAAGGAAGAGTTTGGTTAGTATGCATTTGCAAGGCTCTATATATCAGCTTTCACTGAAAAAAGATTTTATGATTGTGCTCATTCTTTTTGGTTATGATCAGGAATTGAAGCATGGAGTTTTGTCCAAAAGCTTGGAGATGCTGTCTTTATACCTGCTGGATGTGCCCATCAAGTTAGAAATTTAAAGGTTAGTAACCTACCACTAGTTTTTATATTACTTTTTAGTGCTTTAGATTGTTCCATTTGGAAATAATAGGGATCATCATGGCTTGATGTTGTGGGGATGAGTAAGCTGTTGACTTACATGATATTGTGAGATCCATTTCCTGAATAAACTGGTCACCCCTTGGTTGTTGACACTTGACACTCAACACTCGATCTTTGAGGTTTCTAGTCATCTGATCATTGTTTGCTTTCTCTTGAGAATGCCTTGTAGTATGCATGAGATAATTGATACTCCTTTTTCCTAATTAAGTGTCAAATCTTTGATTGATGTTATTTTGATGACATGTTTTGTGGGAAACAAGACATGAGTTTGTCCCACTCCTACATACACACAAATGCTGCTAGCTAGTAGTTCAAGAGTCATTGAAATTGAGTTTTTTCTTTTGAATATTAGAAAATAGTTTTTCTGCTTGTCCCAACATGGTATCGGAGCTTCAAGCTCTATAATCGGCTTTATTTGCCCTAACTGACAGATGTCAATTGATCATTTACAGAAATCATCCTAGTTTTTGTTGCCGATTTTTCTCACTGTTTATACCCACCACTTCAATTAGTCAGCCTAGTATTAAATCTGATGAAAAGATACTAAAAAATTCTACTAATTCTTTATATGGATTTACAGTTATATATACGGTTTTCTGTTACTCTAAACAAGGTAAGGTAAGTTTATGTCTAATTTTCTTACCTTTAGGGTTAGACATTACTGATTTTTTGAAATTAATCATCCAAAATTTCCTACACCATCATGCCTGTGTGTTCTTGAGCCGTGGCTCGTTTGTAACACACTTTTAGTGAGAAATAAAAGTTCCTTGTCTTAATCGAGTCTCTTTTCCAAAAGCTTCAGACATTGATATAAGAATAAGAGCTGTGTTTAAGGTGGAAAGAAAACTTTTCAATGACACAAACTGAGGCAACGGGTACAAGAGCCTTTTGGTGGATCTCAAATCCTTTTTCTTAAAATAATAGGAAGATGTAAGAGTCTAGTGCACTACGAAGATGTAGAGTTTTCCTTTCTGACACTCCATTCTCCATTTTTTTACGGAATGGAGATACAAGATGATTCCTACCTTTTGAAGAAATGGACTTAAGATTTGAATTGATTGAAATAATCACGAGAATTGTCGAGACGTAAGTGTTATAATAAGTGAATAGATATGTTTTTTTTTGTGCAGTCATGTATAAAAGTTGCATTGGAGTTTGTTTCTCCTGAAAATGTTGGTGAATGCATCCGATTGACAGAAGATTTCCGTGTTCTTCCCCAAAATCATAAGGCAAAAGAAGATAAGTTGGGGGTAAACAATCTTCAATTTGTTTATGTGAAATGTGTTGATTTGGGTTTATATATTATTGATAACAGGTCAAATTCGTAAAATTAAAAAGTTAGCATAAAAGGTAACATGTGGAATGACAATGCGCAACCTCCTGAATATTTTTAATAAAACATATTAGCTTGTTATTTTACTAATTTCTTTTTACAGCCATATTTTATATATTAATTACTTATGAAATTATTAAAACTGAAATGAAAGTATTGCCTGCTTAATACAACTCCTGTTTGACAACAACCTGTCCTTTTGCCACATATCTAATGCTGGTGTCAGTCAGTCAGTGTCAGTTAGGTTCATAATATCATCAGTTTCGTTAATTTCAATTTTAGTTTGTTATAAATTATTAAAATTGTGCAATTGGTTGATGCTGCTGCTAATTAATTAATTACAGGTGAAGAAAATGGCACTTCATGCAGTGGAGGCAGCTGTGAAGGACTTGGAAAAATTTGTTCCAAGGTAAAACTTTAAACCTTTTCTAAACTAATTTTATTAAGAATCAGGTCACAAATAAAACAAAAAAGGAAACTAACTAAAAAATGGAAAATATATTATTTATATATTATACTTACCTTGTTGCATTTTTGTATCGGTTGACCTATTTTCTTTAATAAAACTTAAGCCTTTATTTTTATTTAAAGAGAACAAAATACTCCAAATTTTTTTTTTTTTTTTTCTCTCTCTATAAATAGAGCCTCATATTAGCATGTCTTTGTATACAACTTTTCATTATTCATCTTTTTACTTTGATATTTTCTACCATTGATCTAAGTAACATATTCAATTTCTTTTAGGAAGTCTGATAATCTTGAAAACTACCAAGTTGAAGTTCCAGTCACTGAAAATCTCCAAACCTTGCAAAAGGATGTGGGTTTACAAATAGATCTTGAATATGAAGAAAATGAAAGTGGTGGTGGCAATGGCATCATAAAAACATCAAGGACTAGTGAAGAAGGGGACTGTAGTGGTAGCTTAGCATGTAAAAATGCATGTGAAAAGAAAGGGAAAGGAAAAGATAAGGAATCATCACAGTCTTGTTCATCTCTTGATGAATTTGTTGCACAGCTTGGTGCAATTAGGGTTACCAGAGACAATGAAGTTGAACTCATGAAAAAAAGACTTGACTTTGAACAAAAAAGGGACCTCAAAAAGGAAGAATGGAACACTAAGAAGATGTATCACATGCATCTCAACACACTATTTGCTAAAAACCACCTGTTGCCGGAAGATGAACACATTAAGCGTCATCTCTTAGCCATGTTGTATGGCATGTGATTGCACTTTATTATTGTACATGATTTACAAGAAAACAGAAACTTGCTTATCATTCCCACACCTGTGTCTATTTACCATGGGAATCTCACATGTAAAAAGAAAATGGATAATGAAAGAAAATGACAAAACTGAACTCATTTCTCATGCATTATGTTGATTAGCATCGGCAACTTGTAAATGTAGTGCTTTTGACCATGCTTTCTTATAGTTAACGTTCGTTTGTCTTAGTCTGTTAAAAATGCTAAAATGTTTGTTTTGCCCTTCAGTTTATACTTTAGGTTAATATTCATTGTCATTTATTTTATCATTATGGTTATTATTTATTGCAAAACGGATCCACCAACCTGATCCGACCCATAATGTATCATCGTTTTCTTTCATTGTCACATTAGCTCCCACCAGTAACTTAAACCATTGGTTGCCTTGAAACCCTCCCTTGAAATCACTTGTGTGCAATTCGTTTTCGAGTCATACTTTACGAAATCCTTTGGCTAATAAAGATGCAAGTTCAATAACCAAGGGATTGGATCACTGGGCGCTGAAAAAGGCAACAAAGTTGTCGTCCAGTTGAATCATAAACAAATTTGATATTCATATAAAACAAATCGTGGATGAAAAATATAGGATATCAAAAATCAACTTCACGCACCAAACTCAAACAATTCACAGATAAACAAATTTGATTTCAATTGCAACAATCATAAACAACTCTTGATCTTGATCATGGGTTCTGGTTTTGCTATAATTACAACTTCATGTGTGAATGTGATGGGGGTGTCGAATTTATGATGGATGTGGCTGGAGATAGGAACGTTGGGGATAGGTGAGGGATATATGCACGAGGTGGTTGGAGATGTCAACAATAGGGATGAGTGGGGGGTTTCTGGAGTAGGTGGTCGGAGATATGAACAATGGAGGAGGGGTGATTAATATACAGAGGAGGTTTGTGGTGGTGGGTGTATGAAGGAGACGAGGCATCTTAACGACGAGGTAAATAAACAAATGTTATAACAGAATAAATACATGTCTTTAATAATGTTATAACAGAATAAATACATGTCTTTAATAGGCCGTGTACACTTAGAAATTCAACTATGTACCCGCCATACTCGTCTTTGTCGGATACCAACCCATAATGATAACATATCTCTTTGATATCTAACGTACATCTACAATCATTAAAATTTAAAATAGGTATAACTTATTACAAGTATACACAAGTGTTACTTAAAAATGTATAAGTAACACTTGTGTATACCTTACACATGTATTAAAGACCTATAATATACACAACCAAATCATCGTTTATATTTAAACATTAAATATGTGATTCAATATCTAATTTGTTCATGTTATAACCATGCCAAACACTTGTAACATCCATAAAAAAATCAAGCAAAATTTAAACTTTTTAAAACATTTAGAAACCAACAGTTATTATAAAATTGTTTTCAAAATAGTTCTATATCAGAGTATCCCAGAAACATAGTCATAAAATGTGAGGAGCTGTACGATCACGCCTTTGCCTTCCCGCGATCATCTGAGGTACCTGAAACCAAAACTGAAACTGTAAGCCCGAAGCTTAGTGAGTTCCTCCAATATACCGATACATAACAAACAGTATACATAATAACATGTAATGGGTCCACAACTCTACAGACTGGATTACCCTCTGGTCCCACAGTGTGAGTCTGACTTGCCTCCCGGGCCCACAACTCACATTTGGTTTGCCTCCGAGCCCACAACATAAGTCTGGTTTGCTTCCGAGCCCACAACTTATGACTGGCTTGCCCCCTTCAGTTCTAAAACTGAAACATAACTAATCTGTCCTTAGTACGAGTCTGACATACCACTTGGTCCTCAGCTTGTATCTGGTATGCTAATGAGTCCTCAGTATGAGTCTGGTATGCCTTCCCGGCCCTCAGCTCATATCTGGCATACTCCAGGGTTTGTTGGTCACTGCACGAGACAGTGCAACCTCAACCCTACCCACACAACATGTCTACATATACAACTAATTGCACATATAGATAATCAAACAGTAGCACAAGTAGTCCTACAGATCTACCTAACTGGCATAGCAAACTAGCATGTATAACTATCTCATACTCAACACGTCATCTACTACTGGGATATCAAATCCAATGGTCCGACCTTGGTGCCTTAGACCCCTTAGTATAGTGAGGACAACTCACCTCGCAATGTCGATCTGAACTGAAGAATCAAACTCCCGAATCGCTGACTCACCAAACTCCCGAACTATCCAAATAACGAATATTAAGTCAATAAATGGGAATATCAATCTTGACCAAGAGTCCTACAACTAATTATAGTCCATTTTGCCTTTTCCCTAATTTGGGCCAAGGCCCGATGCCAAATCCATGATCCACAAGTCTACATATATAAGGTCCATCATTGGCCCAAGTTTCCAAACTGGACCCAACTCCCTAATTGGGCCTCATTCAAAAGATCCACTACCAAAACTGGTCCAAAATACTCTTATCCAGAGAGCCCATCAAGGCCCAAGTCCAACTAATCCAAAGGCGGCCCAATCCCGAAGCCCAAAATGTTAAAAAGCCCAACAGAGGGCGTACTCCTCTGGTACGCTAGGCGTACTTCCATTTTGCGTTGACCACCATCGGGGTGGTTGACTCAGTACGCTGGGCGTACAGAAATTACGCAGGGTTTCACCAAAACTCTAATAAGTGCTTAATGGCTTAAGCACTTAAGCACATATTTCAGATCCATCGACCAAAAGTGTCTTAGAACCATAAAGTCTCGAACTTTAAGACTTTGGACGTCCAGAAAGCTCTTAATACATGGTCTTAATCCATTAATACCTTTTTACTACATGCATGGTGTCACACCTCGCTAAAGCGGAAACACGAGACGTGGCAGTACAAAGGGTCTCATAGCAAAAGTTTAAAGACAACACCAACCATAGTATTAAAAATCATTACAAATTTACAATGAGTTTGAACAACTTTTTAAAAGAAATTACAATGTATTTAAAAGTCAACACATGCAAATGCTCCTACAAGTGTTGTGTCTCTACGTGCCTCTTACTAGATGATTCCTGAAAAAGCATGTAAAATGAGCATCAACTATAAAAATAGTTGGTGAGTACTCACAGATTAAAAATAATATTGGTTTCAAGAATCGAAATAAAAGTTTTTGATAAAAGTTTCCATAAATAAAAGTTTATTGCTAAAATGAGTTTTCAAGAATCGAAATAATATTCTGTAACATACACATTTTGAAATCGTGTTTTAAGTAAATAATATTATGAAATATTATATAATTATGAGTATTGAGTTCTAACGGATAGTTTTTACTAGAAATGAACTAAAACTATGTTTAGAATCAATCGGAAAATATTGGAAGTCTTATGAGATTCCAATTAAAAGACAAATATCGAAATTTAACGAAAATATAAAATTTGAAATAAGTAAAATTTTATTATTGAAAGTTGTAAAGAATCTCGTTAGAAACATTTAGGCGAAAACCTCATCGAAATCCGAGTTATAACGAAGAAGTATGACCAATCGAAGATCCGCGACAAAACCGGCACAACGCCGAATGACGTAAAAAGTGAGTTTTTGATAAACTACTTTTTAGCCTTGGTGATCTAAACGAAAGTCGTAGTACTTGTTAAACCAATAATTTTGATAAAAAGAACACCCAAATCTGACTTCGTATGAGGAAGTTATGATTTTTCTAAGTTTCGGTATAGCAGTAGACAGCTAAAAACTCGAATTTTAGATCGAGTGATTTTTAGCCGACACAACCTAAACGAGAATCGAAGGTCTCGTCATTAATAGTACAACGGTAAAAAGGCTGACGAAAACGGATGTCGGATGAAGAAGTTATGAAATTTTAACGGATTTTCCTGCCCCGGTCTGTTAAAAATAAAAATATTAAAAATAAATTCAAAATTAGCCGACAAAGTCTAAACGAAAGTTGTAGAGTATATTCCCGCCTACGTGTGCATATAAAGAACGTAAAAAACGGAGCCCGTATGAGAAAGCTATGGATTTCAGAAGATTTGGGCTCAATTTCCGAGGAACCTCACATGGATAAGACCGATCTCGGTGAGTCACGCGCGCCACGTATCCGAAGATCCTCACAGGTCCGACGCGTGTGCAGCTCCGGTTCCGAAGCGTGTCCGCCAGCTCCTCGCATCCGAGCGCGCCACCTGCCTCGCACCCGAAGCTCGCTGCTGCTGCCGCGTGTTCTTCCTTCGGCCGAAGATCCGAGCCACGTGCCTCTCCCTCCTTGCTTCGGATCCGACCCTCGCAGCTATATATAGTGGCTGCGAGATCTCCCGGGTAAACTTTGGAAATTGCCACTTTTTACCCCAAAAATCAATATTTCTTGCAAATCAACTTCCCCCGAAGCCCCGGTATCAATTTTAACTCCCGAAATACGTTCCGAAGTGCCCGAGAAGCAGGAGAAATTTATCATTTCGGTTTGAAGCTCTACCCTCTCAAGGCCTGATTTTCAATAAATCTCCCGGTTTTCAACGAAGAAACTTTATTATTGTAACGTAGTGCTGCACAAATTACTATTTTAACACCCGATTATCTCAAGGTGAGTTTAATATATAGGAACAATTGTATGTTATGTGTTATATGTGCTATGTGCTTTTCAGTGTTATTATTCCGGGTTATTTTCCCGTGTTATTTATATTCCTGCTATTTATGATAGTAAAGCTATACCTTTGACCATGTGATCAGTAAAAGGACTTAGATTCACGGTGGTACTGGTACGTAGCCTCTGGCCATGTAGAGCATGTCTCCGTAAGAGAATGACTTCTATTCTATGGCATTGGCAGATGGTTAGACAGGGCTATAAGCCTGAAATCTACCGAAATGTTTAAATCAGAAAGTGTATGTCTTCTGTGCCATTTGGGCCGATGCTTTATTGGTGTTTATCAAGTATAGAAATTGTCATGTCTCATTGATCGTATATCTTTGAATCAAATCATTGATTGATATGGA